TTGCAATAGTCTTAATTTAATTTCAGAATGTCTTAAAAAGTCTTGAAAAAGTCTTAAATTTAATTTTGAGATTCCTGCGTATACCCTGTTGTTATTTTGCTGGAGGTTGTGCTCCCAGGGATTTTTGACCATAATTGCCATTTGTTGGTAAAGTTTTTCTTGGACACAAAAGTAATGCTCGCTTGCAATGATTTAGGTATCTACTGCCCCCTATTGCCAGGGAAAATACACACTTTAAACATGGACTCATGTTTTATGGTAAAAAAAATTTGTTTATCTTGTTCCAAAGTAAAAGTGGTAAAGGTAGTGAAGGGATGTCCCTTTTTAGCACAGAAAATTCAGCTGGAGGAGAAAGTAGCTTAAGACAGCAGGATTTGGTGTCCTATTTCCTGATGTTTGGAAATCTCACCTCTGATTGGCTAACAACAATGTTCCTCTTCTACTGACTCTGCTCTGCAACATGGATGTTTTATCTCCACATATAACACAAGCCTGAAAGTGTTCTGTGTGGTGGAGTGGCTAATGCTAACAGTTAGCTTCTACTAGCTGAGACATTCTCAGCTGTTTCCTGGATGCTAAACCAACCACAGCCTTCCCCGTCATGACTCAAGATGGGTGAGTCCATGAATGTTAAGTGACGGTGTGACGTAGATCTGTCAGGTTTTTCAAACCCTACAGTTTCACCGTCTGTTTTCTATCAGAAGCTAATGCAGGAGACCGGTGTAGGAGATTATTTTCCTGTTCAGTCTGCAAAAAACTAAATGTAGGGATGCAACAATACCACTTTTTCCAAACCGATACTTGGATCTGAGTACTCGCCGATACCGATTACAGATACCAATACCAAAATAATGCTGTGAATTGCAATACAGGTTTTATTTTCTTCTCTGTTTTCAACAGGAAAATACTTTGAGGTAGATCAAAATTAAAATATATTAATAGAAATGATCACTAAACTAAAATATTTGGTGAACAGAAATGACAAGTTACAGTGAAGCCACTTCCAAGCACTCCTCCTTGAACCGTCACCTTATCGTGGTGGAGGAGTTTGAGTGCCCTAATGATCCTAGGAGCTATGTTGTCTGGGGCACTTAGTGCCCCTGGTAGGGTCTCCCATGACAAATTGGTCTTAGGTGAAGGGTGAGACAAAGAACGGTTCGAAGGATCTTTCATGGCGGTTAAAACGAAGAGTCGGAGTACCCGGCCCGGAGGGTTACCGGGGTCCCACCCTGGAGCCAGGCCTGGGGTTGGGGCCCGTGAGCGAGCGCCTGGTGGCCGGGCTTTCGCCCATGGGGCCCGGCCGGGCCCAGCCCGAACTGGATACATGGGCTCGTCCAACTGTGGACCCACCACCCGCAGGAGGAACATGAAGGGTCCGGTGCAATGCGAATCGGGTGGCAGACCAAGGCGGGAGCCTTGGTGGTCCAATCCCCGGACAAGAAAACTAGTTTTTGGGACATGGAACGTCACCTCGCTGGCGGGGAAGGAGCCGGAGCTTGTGGCAGAGGTTGAGCGGTACCGGCTAGATATAGTCGGACTCACCTCGACACATTGCATTGGCTCTGGAACCCGAGACCTGGAGAGGGGTTGGACACTCTACTTTGCTGGAGTTGCTCCGGGTGAGAGGCGGAGGGCTGGGGTTGGCTTTTTGTTAGCCCCGAGACTCTCTGCCTGTGTGTTGGGGTTTACCCCGGGGGACAAGAGGGTAGCTTCCTTGCGCCTTCGGGTCGGGGAACGGGTCCTGACTGTTGTTTGTGCTTATGGGCCAAATATCAGTTCAGAGTACCCACCCTTTTTGGAGTCCCTGGGACAAGTGCTAGATAGTGCTCCATCAGGGGACTCCATTGTCCTGCTGGGGGACTTCAATGCTCACGTGGGCAATGACAGCTTGACCTGGAGGGGTGTGATTGGGAGGAACGGCCCACCTAATCTGAACTCGAGCGGTGTTTTGTTATTGGACTTCTGTGCAAGCCGCAGTTTGGCCATAACGAACACCATGTTCGAACATAAGGATGCCCACCGGTACACTTGGTACCAGGGCAGCCTAGGTCACAGGTCGATGATAGATTTTATAGTCGTATCATCTGACCTGCGGCCATATGTTTTGGACACCCGAGTGAAGAGAGGGGCGGAGCTGTCAACTGATCACCACCTGGTGGTGAGTTTGATCAGATGGCAAGGGAACATGCCGCGTAGACCTGGCAGACCCAAACGCATAGTGAGGGTCTGCTGGGAACGCCTGGCAGAAGAACCTGTCAAGACGGTCTTCAACTCCCACCTCCGGCAGAGCTTTGACCACGTCCCGAGAGCAGTGGGGGACATTGAGTCCGAGTGGGCCTTGTTCCACTCTGCGATTGTCGAGGCGGCTGTTGCTAGCTGTGGTCGTAAGGTGGCCGGTGCCAGTCGTGGTGGCAACCCCCGTACCCGCTAGTGGACACCAGAGGTTCGGGGAGCCGTCAGGCTGAAGAAGGAGGCCTACAGGGCGTGGCTGGTCTGTGGGTCTCCGGAGGCAGCAGACAGGTACCGGATAGCCAAGCGGAGTGCAGCAGTGGCAGTTGCCGAGGCAAAATCTCGGGCGTGGGAGGAGTTTGGTGAGGCCATGGAGAAAGACTATCGATCAGCTCCAAAGAGGTTCTGGCAAACTGTCCGGCGCCTCAGGAGAGGAAGGCAGCAACTCGCTCACACTGTTTACAGAGGGGATGGGGAGCTGCTGACGTCAACTGAGGCTATAGTCGGACGGTGGAAGGATTACTTTGAGGAGCTCCTCAATTCCACCAATGCGCATTCCGAGGAGGAACCAGAGCTGGGAGGCCTGGGGATGGACTGTCCGATCTCGGGGGCAGAAGTTGCTGAGGTAGTCAAACAACTACACAGCGGCAGAGCCCCGGGGGCGGATGAGGTTCGTCCTGGGTATCTCAAGGCTATGGATGTTGTAGGGCTGTCATGGTTGACACGTCTCTACAACATTGCGTGGTCATCGGGGGCAGTTCCTAGGGAGTGGCAGACCGGGGTGGTGGTCCCCATCTTTAAGAAGGGTGACCTGAGGGTGTGTTCCAACTATAGGGGGATCACACTCCTCAGCCTCCCTGGAAAGGTCTACTCCAAGGTACTGGAGAGGAGGGTCCGATCGATAGTTGAATCTCAGATAGAGGAGGAGCAATGTGGTTTTCGTCCTGGCCGTGGAACTGTGGACCAGCTCTATACCCTTGCAAGGGTGATGGAGGGGGCATGGGAGTTTGCCCAACCAATCCACATGTGCTTTGTGGATTTGGAGAAGGCTTATGACCGTGTCCCCAGGGGCACCCTGTGGGGGACGCTCCAGGAGTATGGGGTGGGTGGCTTTCTGTTAAGGGCCATTCAGTCCCTTTACCAGAGGAGCGTGAGTTTGGTCCGCATAGCCGGTAGTAAGTCGGACCTGTTCCCAGTAAGGGTTGGACTCCGCCAGGGCTGCCCTTTGTCACCGGTTCTGTTCATCACTTTTATGGACAGAATTTCTAGACGCAGCCGTGGTGTGGAGTGTGTCGAGTTTGGTGGCAGGAGAATCTCGTCTCTGCTTTTTGCGGATGATGTGGTCCTCCTAGCTTCATCCAGCTCTGACCTTCAGCTCTTGCTGGGTAGGTTCGCGGCCGAATGTGAAGCGGCTGGGATGAGGATCAGCACCTCCAAATCTGAGACCATGGTTCTCGACCGGAAAAGGGTGGCTTGCCACCTCCGGGTCGGGGGAGAGGTCCTACCTCAAGTGGAGGAGTTTAAGTATCTCGGGGTCTTGTTCACGAGTGAGGGTAGGAGGGATCGGGAGATCGACAGGCGGATTGGTTCGGCGTCTGCAGTGATGCGGACGCTGAGCCGATCTGTCGTGGGGAAGAGGGAGCTGAGCCAGAAAGCCAGGCTCTCGATTTACCGGTCGATCTACGTCCCAATCCTCACCTATGGTCATGAGCTTTGGGTAATGACCAAAAGAACGAGATCACGGATACAAGCGGCCGAAATGAGTTTCCTCCGTAGGGTGGCCGGGCTCAGCCTTAGAGATAGGGTGAGGAGCTCGGACATTCGGGAGGGACTCGGAGTAGAACCGCTGCTCCTCCGGATCGAAAGGAGCCAGTTGAGGTGGTTTGGGCATCTGGTCAGGATGCCTCCTGGACGCCTCCCCGGGGAGGTGTTTCGGGCATGTCCTGCCGGCAGAAGGCCCCCGGGTCGACCCAGGACACGTTGGAGAGGTTACATCTCCAATCTGATCCGGGAACGCCTTGGGGTCCTGCCGGAGGAGCTGGTGGACAAGGCCGGGGAGAGGACGGCCTGGAGCTCCCTAGTTGGGATGCTGCCCCCGCAACCCGGACCCGGATAAGCGGAGGAAGACGACGACGACGACCACTTTCAAGCAACTGCATTGGTATCGGTTCCTGGTATTGGTTAACTTTTACCAATACCGGTATCGGTATTGGTTCATCCCTAACTAAGTGACTGATCGTTTTCAAAAATAATAAGTAAAACACATTTTTTCAGTGACGGACCACTTTAACACTCTTCATAAATAAAACTGATTCATAATGTGAATCTGTTTCATCGAGTTAACTTGGTTAATGAGTTATGTGGTCAGAAGTGCGCCCTCATAGAGCCAGCAATGTCACTACCACATCTTGCATGCTGTTGGCTGGGATAGTCCAAGAACAAGCAGATAAAACTCAGAGATGTTTTTTAAGCATTCACACTAAATTTTAGTACAATTCTGAGTACAAAAGGTTTAGCAGGTCGTATGTGGGAAAGACGTTATGTATTGTTGAGTCCTTGTTAAGCTGTATTGAGTATGTTGTTTTGTCAAATATAAACATTTAGTGACTTGATGCTGATTTACTACAATTTTCTGCTTGTGTGTGTGTGTGTGTGTGTGTGTGTGTGTGTGTGTGTGTGTGTGTGTGTGTGTGTGTGTGTGTGTGTGTGTGTGTGTGTGTGTGTGTGTGTGTGTGTGTGTGTGTGTGTGTGTGTGTGTGTGTGTGTGTTAGGTGAATGACATGCCCATGGTGGCGCTGGTCCAGCCTGTGTACGACTGTCTGACGAGGTTGGCCCGACCAGACGCTTTAACCAATGAGGAAGAGGTGAGATTATTATGTGGAGAAGTTAAGTTAAGGAGAATTCAGTAAAATAATATCGACTATCTCCAATCTGAAATAAAAAATAACATATAAAAAAATAAAACAGTAAAAAGAACTAAATTTGGTCTCTCCTTCCATCCTGTGCAGGTGGACTGCCTGGTGCTGCAGCTCCATCGTATCGGAGAGCAGCTGGAGAAGATGAACATCCAGCGGATGGACGAGCTGTTCTTCCTGCTCCGGGACGGATTCCTGCTCCAGGAGGGCCTCGCTTCCATGACGCGGCTGCTGCTGCTGGAGATCCTGGAGTTCAGAGCCGGAGGCTGGATGCTCAATAGTACGGCCCACAAGTATTACTACAGCGAGTTAGCCGAGTGAGGCAAACCGCCACAGAGAGAGAGAGAGAGAGAGGGCGTGTCTGTCACCAGCAGCATCTTTCAGCTCATCTACAGGGAAACTCAGTCTGGGACAGTCGCTTCGATTTTTCTGGGTGCTTTTATTTCCAGTGGAGATGTGATGGAGGTGAAATGTGCAATAGTTCACAAAGCTAAGGAGGTTCGCTTCTTTCACAGATACTTGGGAAAAGGTTTCTTCTAAAGATGAATTGAGAGATAGGCTCATTATTTTTAAATCTTCTTGCATTCCTGTTGTTTTAGGAAACATTTCCTGTTTAAGTTTACCAAATTTGTACAGACATTCCAACGAGACGCAGATATGCTCTTGGCTTTTGCTTTTTTAAATCGTTTTTATAAATATTGTTGATCTGCTGCAGAAGAGTTTCAGTTCAGGAGAAATGTCCTCTTTGGATCCTTGTTCCTGTTTGGTGAAGCTGCTTTGTTTTCATGGAAGGATTTTTTTTAGTTTTGTATTCATTACGATTTTAAAGACCAAAACACCCCTCTACACCCGCTTTCCTACGGGTTCGGTTTCATTCATGGTTTACGTCAGAAGATCCTTGTGAACAACCAGCAGAACAATTTAGTTTTGGTTACAGTAAAATGTACATATTAGCCATAACATTATGACCAATCCTTTACTGGTCCAGAACATTTTTTAAAGATGAGCACTGTTGAGACCTCATGACTGACCAGTGTGTGTGTGTGTGTGTGACCTCATTTGAGCCTCAGTGATATTTTTAAGGTTTTTAACCAAAGCTATGCCTTAGCATCACACTGAGATAAGTGTAAAGTACTTGTTCACCACCTGTTAAATGTAGGAGTTAAGCTTCAGGAAAAAATGGAATTTTGGAAAATTCTCATTCGTTTTATTAAAAACCTCAGAAGCTACAACAAAACTGAACATTTGGTTTTCCCGTTGCGATGAAAGGCTACATGTAACAGGTAGTTAAACCTGATCATTAGTTTAAAAAGTACGGTTGGTTTAAGAATTTCATGCATTTAAAACTTGGAAATTCTGAATCATAAAAACTGGAAATATTTAAATTCCAGTTTTTTTAACAATCATTTCACTCTGATGTTGCAGCTCTCCTGACTTTGTTCCAGTTTTCTACAGTTGGATTGTAATTTTAATCAGTTGTTTTAATAAATTCTTGATTTGATTAAGCTTTTATTGAGTATTAATGAAAAACACATGTTTATTCTACACAATACACTTTATTCATTATAAAATCTGACAGTAGACCTTTCCCAGGAATTCTGCCAGTGTTTTTTCCTGTTTTAGGCTGTAGTCCTTCCACAGAAAGAGTTCCCAGTTTCCTGCCATGTGCCATGATGGGGTTTGAGCAGTAATGGCTCCCAGCGGCTCTGCAGACGCTCGTCCTGCTGCTGCGTTTCAGTCCCGGGGTTCCACCTACCACCAGCGGTAGTGGGCGTAGGCTCTGTTGGCTTCCGCCATCTTGTGCAGCTCGTGCTTCTTCTTGATGACGTTGCCTTCCTTTTGGAAGGCAGCCAGCAGCTCCTGGGAAAGTTTCTCATACATGAGAGTGCGTCTGTGTTTGTTTTCTTTGCATTCTGTGATCATCCACTTCATTGCAAGGAAGCGGCGTCGGTTGTCTGTGAGGGGTATGGGCACCTTGATGGGATGACGATTAATAATGTAATTAATCACCTTAATACGGAAAAGCTTTTCTGCAAATCAACTCATGATAAGCGTCCTACAACAGCTTTAAAGTGCGTCGTTACTGACCTGGTAGGACTTTCCTCCTTTCTGTATACTGGCCAATCCAACGACAGGCTTACAATTCTCCAAAGCCTGGTGAAAAATCTCATATGGATTACACTCGATCTCCTCTTTTTGTCCCCCAGTAGCTTTGTGGTATCTCTCCACTTGTTTCTTCTTGATGTTCTCTAGTGTCTAAGCAGAAAGAGATTCAGTAATCATTTGTAAGGTCATTGACAAATTAACATCATTTTAAAATTGAAAAAGCAGTGATCGGTACTTCACCTGCAACATGATCTCTCTGGCCAACACCTTATTTCCTTGTCTCATCATCATGTTGATGAATTTACTGAAAAACAAAACGAGGAATCACAGGCTGTTCTGAACTTTAGACAAAACTAGGGATGGATGATATATCGGCATCAATACCGGCTGATGTTAGTCACTTTTTAACAAATCAATATCAGTTCGATAAATAAAACCAGGCCGATATCAACAACCGATTTTTATCCATCTTGTCTCCATTTGTTTGCCTGTTTCAGAGGGTGAGGGGGGTGATGTGTGATTGTTTAGTCATGTGAACACTGAACAGTGAATGTAATCATCTCAGAAGCATAAATGTGTGTTGTGTGTACATAATAACGTAAATTCAGCTTTAATCATTTTCATTCTATACAAAATCTGCTGATTTTAGAAGCAATGTCAGTATATTGGTATCGGCAAATATTGGTTATCGGCCATAACAGTGATCTTAATTTCGGTATTGGCCCAAAAATTTCAAATTGTTGCATCACTAGACAAAACTTTATGAAGTTTGAGAAAACTCTGCATATTAAGCCAGTTTTTGATACCTGATGACTGGGTCATCAAAAACAGAGCTAGTTACTCCACTGGTGGCGGCTTTAATCGGTCGGAGCGTTTTGAGCTGACGCTCCTCCTGGTCCTCGGGACTCAGCTCCGTCTCCGGACGGTTGTAAGCCTCTTTTCTGACCTCTGGCTCCAGATAGTACGGGTTGTATCTGCTCCATCTCACCAGGACCACTCTGCAGACAAAATATATAATAAATAATAAAGTGTTATGAACTGTTTGACTTATTTTTATTTTTTACAAAAAGAAAATGAGGGTTTTCCCAGAAATTTTATCATATATACATGTTTTACAAAAGGTCATACACAATTTTCATTTTATTTATTTTACATGTATCAGAAAAAACATGTATTAAAGACAAAATAGTTCTAATTTTTATATTATGCTTGGAAAACTAATCAAACCCATAAACCCCCCTGATTACATCCCTAAGGATGGAACATGTAAGGTTAGAAGTGTTAGTGTGTGTGTTGTGACATTCTGTCATCTTTATTTAAAAATCACTACTTATGGGATACTAAGATGTTAATAAACATTTTCACATATTTACTTTAAACTATAAATATTTGGGTTCAGATCAGGTTTTTTATGTCATGTTTAATTCTATGACCAGCATCCTTACATTAACATGTACAGAAATGTCCATAAATTACAAAAAACTACCATAAAACTTTTTAAAATCATACATAAAACAGAGTTCACATAATCATAACATTACCCAACTGCTCCATGTTACAAATGTATTTGTTCTCGTTTACTTTTCCAATTTTAGTAAAGGCATTACAATTTAATATTTATAGGGCTTTGGAAGCTGTTCGAATCTGAAACGTTCAGATTATAATTCAAGTATTTCTATTAACTAAAAGTATTAATGGGATAAAATGACTGTTAGAAATGCTTTAAAGGACTTGTGAATTTTTGTTGTTGGGAAATGTTTTTAGGAAAGTCGGATTCGAGAGCAATGACAAAAATTTAATTGTCTTTGAATGTATTTTGCGTGTCCATACGGTATAGCACCTATAACGTGGTCATTAATAAATATAATTGGCGGATCCTAAAAACGAAAAGACTTCTGAATCATTAACAACAGAGCTAATTAGTTAGCTAGCGGTAAAGTCAAGTGGGATTCTGGAATATTCTGACCACTCATAGAAGGGCAACAAATAGACGTTTATCTTAAACCTGCTACAAACTCGAATAAAGCGGTTGCACTTACCTTGACGTCCATGGTTTTAGTAATCCTGAGACGGAAGCAGCCATTTTCAAAACGTGAGTGTCCATAAGGAGGACCCTGGGTTTAGTACGCCCTTGCAATGCCCTACGAAAAAAATGGAAGCACATAACCGCCTACGGGAGCCGACGAGCGGTGGCGCCGCCATCTTTGATCGGTCGAGTCGAGACCCCCCCCCACCCCACCCCCCCTCCTAGTTTAGCGTTTTTAATCAAAGTGGATTTGCTGGGGGTACATACTCACTGTTGTCCAGAGGTTAACGTTAAAACTTGTAGAAAAAATAGGACCAATCAATAAAAATCTGTCAAAGAATGAGAATCAAAATAATTTAAAAAGGGTCTTCCAACTGGTGTGAATTAGGTATTAAAAAATAATTTAAAAAAACACCTAATATATGATAGAGAAGCAGAGAGTACTACTCAGACATTTTAATAAACAATATATGCAATATAATACAATATTTATAGAAATGGAAATAAATGAGTGTTTATGTAATTTCTAAACATATAGTTTCAATGAAATTTGAAGTGAGGGTGAGAGGGAACAACTAGAACAAAGATTGGATGACAAGAGCATGACAAACCGTCCATCAGAACGTACTGCTTAGCAATTTTTTGGTTCTGTTGTATTTTTGTGTGTCCTACGTGTCTGCTCAGCCCGCTTGGATCCTGGCTATTCCGTGGCTTCCATTTCAATGGCCTAGATGCAGTCACAAAGCCTGGTTCTGGTTTGACTTACTGGCCGGGCCTGATTTCAGCCACCTGGGGTTTGGGCTGAGTGCCTAATCTTTTGTCAAGTTGGTGCTAAATGCAACACCTCCTGGGGACAGAGCCTTCAACGCCTTCCTGTGACTTGGATTGATTGATTGATGAACTGCTCACAAGCATTATTCTGCTTATTCTGTTGATGTTTTCTAAAATAGGATATCGAAAATTCTTTGGTTTGAGAGGACGTAAAGCCTGAATCAGATTTTGTCACAAAAATGACCCTGACTGGATCATACTCCTAAACCTAGCGTGGCTCTGCTGCTCCCCCCAGAATATGTCAGAGTCTTCAACAACTTCCTGGAACCTAATTCCTGAGCATTTATTGCTCAAAACATTATTCTGCTAACCTTGTGCTTTGTAAGATGTTTAATGATGTTTAATGAGAAATTAAAATCAATAGTACAATAAAATGGTGAAACAAAAAAAGTTGATGAAGAAGATGAAGATGAAGATTATAATGTCTTTTCATAGCCTCATTGGTTTTTTTTTCTGTTGTTTTGGACTTGAGACCATGTTGTGTCCCCTTGGTGAATATTAACATGCTCAGAATGAGGGTTACTTATTATCGTGGCACTAATTCTAATTTACCTGGGGATACTGATACAACACCAACTCACTTTACTCAGATCTTTAACTTGTGGTCAAACCTGCTTGGAGAAATATCCAACCTCAAACCTTTTCTTGCTTTATACGATCTTACTCTCTCACTAAGCAAAACTCACCACATGGATTCAGCACATGTCATGACCACACCATAATATAAAGTGAAACACAGATTAATGATTGTCTTACTTTTACTGTTATCTGGAAATATGCAACCAAACCCTGGACCCGAGCTGCAATGTACACGGACTCCTGTCAATTTCCAACATTTGTCTGGTCTCAAAATTATTCATCTGAACGTGCACAGCTTATTACCAAAGATATGGTCAGAATCTGGATTAAATCAACAGCTGCAGACATTGTAATCATTTCTGAAACTTGGCTGACTAAATCCATAAGTAATGAGGATATCAACATAGCTGGATACAATGTTTATCGCACAGACTGGCTGAACAAAGGTGGGGGTGTAGTTATTTTTATCAGATCAAGATTGAAAACATGAATATATTTGTCTGAGTCTATCCGTAAACAAATGGTGTTTTTGGCTTTAAATGTGGAAATTGCCAAATCACTTCTATAACTTTTGCTGGGTGCTATAGACCTCCATCGGCTTCCAAGGAGGCATTATCATCCTTAAAGCATCTCTTGTCCAAATTAAATCATAGTGAACTTGTACTAGCTGTTTATTTTTTACACAAAAGGAGCTTCTGTGATTCCTTACATCTTAGCCAGTTTGCCAGCCAACCCACAAGACCCAATTTTAAGAATCCTGATAAGTCAACCTTAATTGACTTAATTTTAACAAATGTCCCTCATAAATTCTCACCATTAGAAAGTTTCTGCAATGACAATCACGCATCATTTACAAGAGAAATCTTAAACAATTCAGTGAACAAGCTTATCATAAAGATTTGTCTTTGGTTAATTGGAGGCAAATAGATTTTTTGCATTCTTCAAGGAGACTTTCATGGAAATTATAAAAGAGCATGCCCCCTTCATGAAACTCAGAATCAAGGGACCAGAAAATCCCTGGTTCTCCCCGAGCTGTCCAATATTATCCATCAGCATAATGTGGAATGGGCCAAAGCCAGAAAAGGAACTCTGCCCTCTGATTGGGCTATCTTTAGGCAACTAAGAAATAAATGTACAACTCTCATCAAAAAGGCCAAATCAAGCTATTACATATCTGTCACAACCATCGACATATATATTGGACAATTCATTTCCATAGACTCCAATATCACATTTTTAAGGCTAAATGGGAGGTGGCCACCACCGCCATTTTGACCGTGTCACAGGTTCCGTCAAGCCCAGACAATTCCACAAAAGGGAAGAGAGGTGGAGCTGAGGGTGGGGCTGTAAGGCTGGGATCAACTGACGACACTTGGTCGAACTAGCTACAAGCTAACCCAAAGCTAATGCGGAGGTGGGAGCTAAGCTAACGGAGGTAGTAGCTACGTAGCTATAACCGGAGTTAACTGTGCACAACACCAGAGCTTCTGAGTCAGAGATACGCCGGGCTGACCGCTGGGTAAAACCGGGTGGAACACAGAGGTCTCCCGAGAGCTCCACAAGCCGGCAGCCGCACAGCAGACAAGCGCCGCTGCGATCAGAGATGCGCCGAGCTGCGGGGAGGGGAGAACCGGGTGGAAAACATTGGTTTCCATCCAAGAGCTCCACAAGCCGGCAGCTTGCGCAGCAGACAGGAGCCGCGATCAGACAGAGATGCGCCGAGCTGTGGGGAGGGGAGAAACGGGTGGAAAACATCGGTCTCCCGAGAGCTCCACAAGCCGATAGTCGGAATCCAGCTCCACCAACATGTTATATTTCAACCCATTTTCTAAAGTGCAGCGTTGTGTTGAATGCTGGTTTTACCCTATGAAATTTAAATTTCATGGTTAAACAGTACACGTTAAAATCTAAGCTCAGCTCGGCAGTGACCTAAAATACATAAATATAATTTTACTTACCGAAAAAAATGAAGTGGAGACTCCTTGGATGCACAAACGGCACAATGGTCTAAGGTGAGAAACTGAAAATGACTGAAAAGTTTTCAGGCGAGGCCGAGGCTCAGACTGAGGCCTTTCCCCGGAGCTAGCTCTGCGGTCACGTGTGTCGGATGCTCATTAATTATACAGAATTTTAGGCTTTTAATACACTTAAACAGAAGAGTGAGAAAAAAATTCACCACCCTCAGAGTTGTCATGAGTGTAAACTAGATCATTTAAGCACAAACATGTTTTGGTACCAGGCTGTAAACTATGTTTATTTCTGCTGTGAAATTGGTATTTTTAGCATGGGAGTCAATGAGGATTTGCTCGCTTCTGACACCAGCCCCCAGTGGATGAGGGTGGAACTGCAATTTATTTCACTTCCGCATTGGCCTCAATTTCTGTCCTGCATTGTGGGGGCTTGGTCACAACTGAGAACCTAAATAATCCACAGACATTTTGGAAAGTGATTAAGTCTTTATTTGTCAACTTAACTTCTTATGCTCTTCCAAAATTTGTCCTAAATGACTCTGTCCCAGTTTATGATAAAACGGAGGTTTTAAACTGTTAACAAGCATTTTATCTCATCTGGTTCAGTGTCAACTTCTACAGGGTGGGCCATTTATATTGATACACCTTAATAAAATGGGAATGGTTGGTGATATTAACATCCTGTTTGTGGCACACTAGTATATGTGAGGTGGCAAACTTTTCAAGATGGGTGGTGACCATGGTGGCCATTTTGAAGTCGGCCATCTTGGATCCAATTTTTGTTTTTTCAAAAGGAAGAGGGTCATTTGACACATCAAACTTATTGGTAATTTCACAAAAAAAAAACAATGGTGTGCTTGGTTTTAACATAACTTTATTCTTACAAGTGCAATTGTGAGCTCTGTTGTTGCTAGACAGAGGATGTCCATAGATCAGCTCCTCCAAGGCCAGCTCTATGTCATAATGGTTGGGAACTCTACTGCCTCGAACAGGCACACCTGCTCAATGCGGCAAGTCAGGGTCCTTGCCACCTTCACTTCCAGATCACTGAAGTGATTCATGTATTTGTGAGCATTTGCATACATAGTAGTCATCCCATTGTGGTGAAGGAGGCCACAGACCGCAATGACCCCACTCACTGGGTGTTTGTTCAGCTGAATCATGTGGGTGTGGGGGGAGTCAGTGTAGACCTGAAGAAAATTCATGGTTCCAGGTGCCTCCAACCCATCAAAGACCACATCCAGGAGGGGACTTTTGATGTCCAGTGGTTTCCCATCGAGGTTTGACTGGTAGTTGGCGCACTGGGGCATACTCAAAGTTGGGTGATCCAACTAACTGTTCCAGACCGACCAGAGAAGGTGCATTTTCTGGTCATTGATCTTGGATGGTAATCAGGCTGCAAGCGGCATGTACAGACACGCATTTAACTCCAGCTGGATGAACCCACTCAGCAAGGTCAAGGAGTCGGTTGCTTTTTTGTCCAAAAAAGGTAAGTAGGACCGAGACGTCAGGATGGCAACCTGCATCTTGTATGGCTTTGTCCAGGAGCCCCAGGACAAACATTTGATCCTGTTCCAGTACAATGAACTTGGATGGGTTTGAGAGGCTGTTCTTTTGCACAGTCCCTTGCCATGTCCTCTGAACACAAGTCTTTTAAGAGCTCTGAGAACAAGTCCCTCACTTTGTTAAGAAGCACAGCTGCCCTGTGTCGTTTTACAGATTCACTCTGGCTACCCTGTGTCGTTTTATAGATTCACTCTGGCTACCCTGCTCACTGTGCGCAG